TCCTCCTCCTCCTGCCCTCCATAACACCCTCATCCTCCCTTACCAGCCCCGCCCTAGGCATTGTTGTTCGCCAGGCGATAATCGTAGGGCTGGCGTTATATAGTATAGTTATTTGGGAGATTATATTAGAATTATTCGATTATAGGAGACAGTAATGGTGATGGAATGTATAATTATTAGCGTTTTTGTTGTTATTATTGTTATTGTTGATGCTGTTGTTATTGTTTTATTATTATTAATATTATTTTTGCTGTTATTATGTTTTCATTTTATTATTATTATTATTATTATTATTATTATTATTATTATTATTATTATTATCATCATCATTATCTACCCAACGTTGAGTCTGGGTACAAATTTGACGCCATTATTCTGCCCATGAACTCTACAGTCACTGTAATTAATAACCAATATGAGTTACAGTACACTATGTCACACCGATACAAAATACAGAAGGGCTACAGCAGGTTACAGATAGGTAGATACTGTACTACTATGATTAAGAAGCTACAGGTGTAAATTATATAGTCCCAAGGCACCAATGAACGAAATACAGGTAAAATACAGAATGAAGGTTACAGAATATACTGCAGCGGTCAATGAACTATTTTACTGTACCTCGGTGGTGTGGGCTCGAATAACATTTTAATTTGTATTTTATTGAATATTTTTGTACGTTGAGTCAAAGGAATTTTATTTTTTTTTTGTAATCCAGTGAATATTTTTTTTCCTTTAAGGTCAAATTAAAAAATATATATATACTTGTTAAATATTTTTGGGGTAGATTTACTAGTCAAAGTAATATATTTTTGTAGTTTTTTTAATCAGTTTTTTGGGTGGGGTAATTTTTTTATACATTCTGAGACCGTGTGACATTCTGTGTGTGTGTGGGGGCGTGTGAACTGTGCAGATGGTAGCCAAGAACTTGTGTGGTAATGCTGGGAAGGTCAAGTATGGCGTACTGAGCATTGACCTACCGGTACTGAGCATTGACCTACCGGTACTGAGCATTGACTTACCGGTACTGAGCATTGGCTTACCGGTACTGAGCATTGACTTACCGATACTGAGCATTGACATACCGGTACTGAGCATTGACTTACCGGTACTGAGCATTGACCTACCGGTACTGAGCATTGACCTACCGGTACTGAGCATTGACTTACCGGTACTGAGCATTAACTTACCGGTACTGAGCATTGATTAGTGTCACAGGTGTATTACAGTATGACCCACAGGTGTAAACAATCAGTAAGGTAAACACACATTGAAAATATATCAGTGTAAACAATGGACTTTAAATATATATTGTAAACAAGACAGGTAAGACAGGTGTAAAGAAGAAACTGACGATGCAAACAATGAGGCAGACGTACTAGAAGCAAACAAATATTACACACACACACACACACACAGGGAAGAGAGGATAGGTGGGGTTAGGTGGGGAGGGAAGGTTGGGTGATAGGATTGTGAAATTGGATGGGGAGGAGGAATGGGATGGGGTGGGTAGGAGGGGTAAGGTAGGGTAATGGGGAGGGAAGGGAAGGGAGGAGGTGGGGAGGAGAGAGTTGTATTAAAGCAGACCTACCCAGACACGCCCGGAAGTTACCACACACACACACACACACACACACACACACACACACACACACACACACACACACACACACACACACACACACACACACACACACACAGGCGTAAAGCGGATAGCAAACAACACGGGGCTTTATCTTCCTACACTAAATGGATTACAAAGATCTGTCCCTCTCAGTAGGTCTATAATATCCTGAAGCAGAGAGAGGGGGGGGTATAACTTAGGTTAGTATAGATTTTGAAGGCATAAAGGTCTTCTAGGATAGATAGGTTCTCCTCTAGCCTGCGTACAGGATAGAGAGGGGAGAGTGGATAGAGGGGGGGGTGCTTGATAAATCCTGGCGCCGTGGTCCTTTAAAGGGATAGACTCTTTCTCTGGTTTTCCAGACGGCGTGGAAGGTCAGCGTATGAAGGGGAGGAGAGGGGAGAGGGGAGGGAGGGGAGAGGAGAGGAAGGGGAGGGAGGGGAGAGGTGACTGGCAAGTGGAATCTTGACTATATTTTTATGTTTGTGTGTTGTGTATGTGTGTGTGTGTGTGTGTGTGTGTGTGTGTGTGTGTGTGTGTGTGTGTGTGTGTGTGTGTGTGTGTGTGTGTGTGTGTGTGTGTGTGTTTAGCAGGTAATGACCTACAGTGTTTTACCTTTACATCTTACCTTCTGTTGATCTTCCGTGATTGGTTGAGATTTAAAGCCTTGTGATTGGACGAATATCTCAAACCTTTTGGATAAACCCTGAGACCTTGTGACTGGATAATCTTTGACACCTAATTTATAATCGTGCATTTCCTTCTTTAAACACACACACACACTCATTAAAAGTGAGTGCATGAGAGAGTGACTCTTGATATCATCGTGTTGTTAAAGATGTAAGTGCCTTTACTCCTAACATGCATCTGAGTGCTTGTACCATCAGAACCTGAGTGTTTGTACCATCAGAACCTGAGTGTTTGTATCATTCAGTGAGTGCATAAGTGAAGCCTTTGGCAACTCACCTAAGCCACACACCCTTGGCTTGGTCAGCGCATGAGTGGACGCCCTCACACACACACACACTGTTGACCTTAGTGGGTCAGCCAAGGTCACAGCATGTAAGGAGCTTTACCTCACCTTAGCAAATACCTGAGTGAAGCCAGGTGGTTAAGAGGGTGACACGTCTTAATGGGCCCCAGTGCTAATGGGTTCGTAGTCATAATGGGCCTCAGTTCTAATGGGCCTCAGTTCTAATGGGCCCCAGTTCTAATGGGCCCCAGTGCTAATAGGTTCGTAGTCATAATGGGCCTCAGTTCTAATGGGTCCCAGAGCTAAAGGGTTCGTAGTCATAATGGGTCTCAGTTCTAATGGGCCCCAGTTCTAATGGGCCCCAGTTCTAATGGGCTCGTAGTTATAATGGCCCCACAGTTCTAACAGGTCCGCATTCCTAATGGGCCCCAGTTCTAATGGGTTTCTACTCCTAATGGGCCCCAGTCCTTATAAGGTCCTAATTCGAAAAGAGCCACAACTAACCTAACTTAACCATTAGGACTGAGGCCCACTAACCAATCACCGTGGCACTACTAACACCTCATTAGACTAGAGTTGGTATCGTAACCGGGAAATAATAGGATCACAACCCACCAAACTTGTGTCAGGGTTGTGAAATAGCGACCTGAATACATTACGAGTTTAAACGCATTTCAGGGCGGATTTAAATCAGGTTTGGGTGAAAAGTAGGGCGCTAAAACACAGGTGACTTGTCAGGTCTTCCAACACCTGGTGATCTTATTTCAGGGTCATGTTAAAGAATGTCTTATTAGCTCCGGGTGTAACTCATAATAACTACTGTAGTGTGTAACTCATAATAGGTACTGTAGTGTGTTAACTCATAATAGGTACTGTAGTGTGTAACTCATAATAACTACTGTAGTGTGTTAACTCATAATAGGTACTGTAGTATGTAACTCATAATAGGTACTGTAGTGTGTAACTCATAATAGGTACTGTAGTGTGTAACTCATAATAGGTACTGTAGTGTGTAACTCATAATAGGTACTGTAGTGTGTAACTCATAATAACTACTGTAGTGTGTTAACTCATAATAGGTACTGTAGTGTGTAACTCATAATAGGTACTGTAGTGTGTAACTCATAATAGGTACTGTAGTGTGTAACTCATAATAGGTACTGTAGTGTGTACATCATAATAGCTAGTGTATTTTGTAACTCACAATAACTAGGAGTGACGCAGGTACCTCCTCTCAGTCACGTGTCGCTAAGGTCAGTTGTTTACAAGTCACAGCTGATCAATATCTTCATTTCTCGGGGTCACGTGACAACAAAGTCAGCTGTATTTACGAAAAACAGCTGATCGACCCTCCCCCCTCCCAACACACACACACACACGGGGGTAATGGAGAGAGAGAGAGAGAGATTAATATCCACTTCACGTATTTAATATTTACATAACAATTAGAGTGACGTCATAGTTTCCTCAATATTTAATAGAATCTGTATCAATCCGACCTTCACTACGCGAACGCTCACCCGTTTTTTGTGGGTCATGGCGTATATAATATTTAAATGGACCTACTGTGTCACTGTTAACAGGATATACATATAATACATATATACGCAACGCACGGGGTGGTAGTGGTGATTGTTGGTGGTAGTGGTGGTAGCTGAGGTGTTGGTAGAGGGGCGGAGATGATTGTAGTCGTGGTAGAGTGAATAGGTAAATTAGGCGTTAAAGGGAGGGAAGGGTGTAGGATGGTGGTGGTAGTGGTGATAATTATGGTGCTTGGGAGGGGGAGTTGTGATAGTGGTGATGGGGGGTGGGTGGATAGTGGTGGTGATTGGAGGTTGGTGATAGTGATGGTGATTGTGGTGAATGGAGAAAGGCGCATTAGCGAGTGAAAAAGAAAATAAAAAAGCAGTAATTGGAGAGAGAGAGAGAGAGAGAGAGAGAGAGAGAGAGGTGATCCTGTGAACACACTCAACCAATAGACCTCACAGCATAAAGACACTGATGTGTGAAAAAGCAAAGAAATAATAAAATGATTTCATGTTGTCTTGTAATAAAACATAAAATATTAAGTAGAATTAGTACGCTGTGTTTGAGTTACCGCAGTCACCCCTTAGAGCAACACGTCGTATCCGTTTTCAATGATTTAAATTACTATACGTACACCTCATAACACTAAAACAACAACTGACACACACTTCTAACTCTTCTAATAACTGTTGAATTTATGAGTTAACTTTACACTAAATAAGTAATATATATTTTCATTGGCTATGGTATTATTGTTTTTTTTTTTATGATTTGTTGTTTTGTTTTTACTATAGTTATCCCCGTAAAGCAACAAGTGATATGACTCGTTTTCTGTGATGGACCATTTTCTCTAATACTTGTCTCTGTTGTTTGCAGGCGTGAGGTGTGAGGGTCACTATATGCATGCTGGCAATACAGTATCGACCCCGCTCACATTTTCCAGGTAAGATAATTAATTGTTTACATTACGTTCGAGTTTAAGATTTTTTTAATATATTTTTTAAAGCTAACTCTATTATTATTATTGTTATTATTATTATTAGCCATTAACTTTAAATGATAAACTTAACCAATGATTCTTATGTTTCTTTGTATATTTTAGTTAGAATTTATTGGAGGAATTTATGACATTTGGAGTATTAAGTTTGTATTGAGTTGAATGTTATTGGTTTATGTGGTGATGGTTCGTGGTGGTGAGTGGTGTGGTGAATGTGGTGATGACAGAGATAGAGAAAGAGGAGGAAAAGAGAGAGAGAGAGAGAGAGGGAGGGATAGATGGGGGGAATACAGACTGAATGGGAGAGGGGGAAACAGAGAGAGAGATAGGGGGAGAGAAAGATAGAGAGGGGGGAATAGAGGGAGAGTGGGATATAGAGAGTGAGAGAGAGAGGGGAGATAGAGTGAGTGAGAGGAGGATATACAGATTGAGAGAGAGAGAGAGAGAGAGAGAGAGAGAGTGAGAGAGAGAGAGAGAAATGGGTAAAATCCGTATACAGTAAAAATAATCAGATTTCAGTGTGATTTCAGATTAAATTTATAAAGATATTGTACAAAAATCTGCATATATCATCAAGTAATCCAATTTTTACCTGTGATTTCAGATTAAGTTCGTGAAGGTGTTGTGTTGGAGAGAGTGTGTGTGTGTGAGTGTGTGTGTCTACCCGTAAAGCCAGAGGGACCCCACCACCCCCTCCCCCCCCAACATGCCATTCATTGACGACGACTTGCTCTGGTGTCCGGATAACGACGGCAAAATGGTCGACCTCTCTTGTCTGGTCAGTATACCCCTTCCTTACCCCATCCTTCATACCCCTCCTTCATGCCCCTTCCTCCTTCATGCCCCTTCCTCCATACCCCCTCCTTCATACCCCCTCCTTCATACCCCTCCTTCATACCCTCCTTCATGCCCCTTCCATACCCTCCTTCATACCTCCATACCCCCCTCATACCCTCCATCATACCCTCCTCCTCCTTATACCCTCCTCCATACCCTTCCTTCATACCCCATCATACCTCCATACCTCCTTCATGCCCCTCCTTCATACCCTCCATCATACCCCCTCCATACCTCCTTTATACCCTCCTCCATACCCTTCCTTCATACCCTCCATCATACCCTCCTCCATACCCTCCTTCATGCCCCTCCTTCATACCCTCCTTATACCCCCCTACACCTGTTGATAATTATATTTAAATTACCTTTATAATTACCTATCAATCTCATTCCTCCTCTTCTTATATCTCTTTTGCAGTTATTTTTTCCTTATTTTTTGCCTTTCTTCCCTTCTCTTTTGGTTTCTTCATGTCATTGTCCTTTTGTCGTATTATCGTTGTTTCTCTTCTCCCATTTCACCATCTCTCTTCTCTAGTATATTTGTTGTTGTTTCATTTAGATATTTTTCTCTGTCTTTCTCCGTTCGTCTGTCTGTTTATTATCTCCTTATCGTTCTTCTCTGTCTGTTTTCCCTTTCTCGTTATTCCCTTTCTTCACCTCTTTTTCTCTCCTCTCTTCACATTTTCTCTTCTCCCATCATTTTCCACCACTTCCCATCACATTTTAACCTCTTATGTACCCTGCCATAGTTTCAGCATCTCTTGGAAGTTAAATCTAGCACAAGAAAACTGGTGTTATAACCGACTCACTTATGTCTCTCTCAGCCTCAAAATATACAGGTTGTGAGGAAGTTCGTCACGTTAGTTCAGTATTGTTGTCTAGTGAATCATATTTCTAAAATCTTATTAGGGAATATATAATTTTTTTTTATATAACTACTGTAGGACGAGTTTATGGTGTTTAGTTTTTAATTTGATTGGTAAAACAGCTGTAGGAGAGGGAGGTTTAGCGACGCTTTGGTTATCAGGAAAAGAAGAGAGTCAAGGAAAAATGGTGGGATTAATGGTTTAAAATGAAGAATTTATGATCTTATATCCAAATTTAGGTTTTCTCTCTTGTTGAATGAAAAAAAAAATCCATTGGCTCAGTGATCAATTTATGTAAATCGTTCTGACGAAATTTATATTGTTTTATATTTCCCAAGACGGGTTCAACTTCAGCTTATCGTGATGTTATAGTGATTAACAATTGTTTAAGACGTAGCTGTATTTTACTTTTATATTTTTGTATGTTGGAATGGTTGCTGTATATATCAGACCCTTGTCTTAAAATGCGTCATTCTACCGCAACATAATCATCAGCAATAAGGACCCGTTATAGTGAGTCTTTTTAGTTATGATGTTATGGTAGAGGACCATTAGTTCAGTTACGGCTCGACCTCACTCGTTTTCTCAAGGTACAAAAATAATTCGTTTTCTATTGGTAAGTGAGGGATGACTCGTTTTCTGTGTGCTGGAGTAGAGTGAACTATCTAGTAGAGTTAGCCCTCAATCACATCGGTTTTCTTTCTTAGAGTTTAGTGGTTACATTTTCTCTTACTCAGATCTGGAACAGGAATGGAAGTTATGGAACTCCGTCATGGTTTCTGGATCGAAATGTAGGTCTATGTTCACCATTATTAGTCTCTGTATATTGTCGTAACACCTTCAATTAAATTTCCATCTGCTGAACAAGTAGTCAAACAGAATTGACCCTTGAACCACTGTCAGAGGGAGGTGTTTGTATATTGTATAATCACACAGATTTACCTCTTAAAAGTTTTTAAATGATGTTAGAATAGTTTAATTACTCACCTTAAAGACCTTAGTTGTTGAAGCGTAGTATTACCATTATACCAACAATAACCGGTCCGACTAATTACCCAAGTGTACCCTAATGTAGCCGGAATGAAGTCAAATAATGGTCCTAGATGAATAAATCGGACTGCCAATCACTTCTCGATTATTATTTGGTGTCATAAAGTCAAAACAAAATTGGTTAACTTAATTTAATATGAGTTGTGTTAGGTTAGGTTAGGTTAGATTAGATTAGATTAGATTAGATTAGATTAGATTAGATTAGATTAGGTTAGATTAGATTAAGTTAGGTTAGGTACATGCACTTGATCTATTAACTCAGATTAAATTAAGTTTACCAATTTTTTGTGACTTTGTGACACCAAATACTAGTCGAGAAGTGATTGGCAGTCCGATTTATTCATCTAGGACCATTATTTGACTTTATTCCGGCTATATTTGGCTACATTTGGGTACATTTGGGTAATTAGTCGGACCCACAATAACAACTATATTAGTCATAGAACTTCTCTTTAATTACTATCTACGTCTCTCCCGTAATTGAATGGGGGTGAATCAGGGTACAGAATCCTGAAATAGTGATGGAAGGCAACAGGAGGTTATTGTTTAGCGACTCGGTAATAGAAATGTACCAAAGTTAGTGGTAATAGTTTTATACTGCGTAGGTATTGTAAACATTTATCAGAATACCCACACAAGTGAGCATATACCCTGTACTTTAAAATGAATCCTTAGCCTCTGTCATGGTTCACTCCATGCTAAGGCAGGCTAGTTATTTTATACAAACTGATTTATAGCAAATTACTGTTATACCATGTTTATGTGTCAATATTAAAGTAAACATCGTTGTGATAATGCCAACAAAAAGTATTGAGGGTACAAACCTTGATGACACCTGTACAGTACCAAGAATTTCAGTGAAGAGAAGGAAAAAATGCTGGGTTTATCTGTAGTGCACATTATGTATGTTCCTTTAGCAGAAATGTCAGTGATTCCTCAACAGTATTGTGACTTGTATCCCTGTATGATTACCTTTGTGCTAGCATTTTGTTTTAGATTACCTCTTGTAATATGTTTAGCAGGTCTGGAGTAACTTACATTCAGAAACTCTATTTACAGTAAACATAAAATACTGTATAAGAACCAATCCAGTTACAAAGTCCTGTACAGATATGATAGTCTTATGTGGTGACAGTGTTGTAAAGTTGGTGACTTGACTTTGAAATACTGTACTGTATGTATATAAATGTATCTACTTAATGTGCTCATTATTGCAGGACCCGGGAGGAGGAAGTACAGCAGGCAATAATGCCACTCCGGGAGGTAACGCCACTGACCAGATGACACCTATGGGCATGGGAGTCATAGGGGGTCTTGCTTCGTCCAATCAGTCATCGGCACCCGAGTGTGGCGATCTAGCCGAGCTCTCGCAGGCTGACCTCAAAGGCCTTGTCGGTGAAATCACAGAAGAAGATGAGATCTTTACTAGCATATCAGATCCCAACTTCGAACTTGATAACATATTTGCTGAGGTTTGTGATGACTTGATTCATAACTGTTTTTGTTCATTAGAAACACCTTAATTGTCAATATACAGTAGTACCCCGATTTACGTGGTCAATTGAACCCACAGGGTACCGCAGAAAGTGAAATCCGCGTAAATGGAACAACAGAACATATGGGATTAATTCCAATAGAGACTGGCCCGACCCCCAAACTCCACTTTTTGACAACACACAACTATGTTGTAGTAAAAATTTTATCTTAACTTTATGATGGTATGCACAAACAAGTAAATAGAAGAGGTTAGGTTAGGAAAAATAAAGGTTAAGTTAGGAAAAATAAAGGTTAGGTTAGGAAAACTAAAAGTTAGGTGTAACTCTTACGTTAGTAGAAGAGATGGGTCGGCATACGGGGATGGAGGCTGATTCCGAGGCAGAGGGCAGATTACTGGCCCTCAGGTGAATCACCATAACTAGGTGCATCACCATCACTATCAGTTACAGTTGTCAGGGCTTCCCTGATAAATCCCTCAAAGTCACCTTCACTGTCACTATCACTATCACAGAACAATGGATGCACGTATACACGGTGTGGCCTGGAGGGATGAAACTGCCGCGGCTAGGTCAAGCGTCGTCTTTCCTCCCTCCCTCCCTCCCTCCCCGGGTGGACACGTCATATTACTTTAAACCAATTACAGCTAGCAGCAGAGGGGGGTAGGGATGCATGGCCAATCACAGTCCGATACGTCATATGACATCAGTGATAACACAACAGAGACATGCACTGCGCAACCTTACCGCGCGGCTTGCCCAGGCGGAGGCGGGAGGAGGCGGGAGCAGGCGGGTGGGGCGAATCTAAAAATAGCGTCGAGCCGGACACTCTGAGCGTATATGGGTAGATGAACCGCGGAAAGTGAAAGTTCGGTTCTGGCGAGGCACCGCGTATATGAGAAATCGCGTAAAGTGAAACCGCGTAAAGCGGGGTAATACTGTAATGTACAGGGAGTCAGTAAATTGGTTAATATGAGTCTTTAATCAATGTTATATATTACATGCACATCCTCTTGGTCTTCAGATATGTTTCTAATTAATTTTTTAAATAAATGTGTTTCATGTAGTACTGTATTTGTATTAGTCTTTTCAACACCAAAGTAATGTCTATAACACCATATACTGTATTAATGGCGCATTACTGTACATAAATTTTAATAACTAATGATCACCTACTGTGGACAGAATATTTAAAATTACTATGATTCTTTTCAGTTAATATAATAATGTTATTTAAGACTTTTAAATATGATTCCATGATTATTTCTTCATATAATAATACTGTATAGTCAAAATAATTCAGTACCTAATGAGCATGTTCATTTTCAAGGTTGATGAGTCCTTCCTGTCGGGTAACCCTGTGGGGGGCGACAGAATGCGAGGCCGTGACAGTCGGTGTGGGAGGGACGACTTCATCCCCGCCACACCCACGGACTCTGCGAAAACTCCCTCAGATCTTCACCTGATACAAATAAAGCAGGAATTGGAAACTATGGGAAGTGTAAGTACTGTATATATTTTATCTACGTACAAGTCTTAAATGTTAACTTGTACATTGACTTAAGTTCTAAAGATATATTCAGCAAAACAATCACATAGTTTGAAATGTTAAGGAGAATGATAGAAATACTGTATATAATTTCAATAAAAGGTTAGGGCTTCTTATAACTAGATTTTGTTTAGATAAATTACCAAGTCATAGTACGTTTCTCTCCCGGCCTACAATCATTATATTTTAGTGGTTTTGAGTTATTACAGAAGGTTAAAATCCAAAATAAGTCATGCGTGTTTGTTGACAATACAGACACAACCTGTGTGTATAGCCAGCATCAAAACAAACACCCTTACCCCTTCTTCCACTGCTATTGATTTTATTCGAGTAACTTACCAGGTACAGTAGATAAGTTCTGTACTACTCGGATAACTCGATGCGAACACAACAGTATGTTATATTTTATATGTACACTTTTCCAGCAACTCTTGTCTCTTCATAAGTCATATGTCTGGTCTTCCTTTTCAGAGTGATGAGGAGCCCATGTCAACAAGTGCCATGGACACAGTGTCCAGCACCAGCACCCTCACTACCCTCCTACGGTCTTCTCCTCACTCCACAATTAATCATAATCACAACCACCTCATCAACCAGCTCATCAACAATCCCTCGGCCTCTTCCATCAATCACAATCTACAACACACAAATGGCAGTCAAACATTTGCCAGTTTGCTCAATGACTCTGAGACAAATAGTGGTGGCTGCTCCAGTACGCCACTCCTCCAGAATGCCTTGCAGAACAATGTATCAAACGGACTAATAGACAGTCGTCACATTAAGAGAGAAAATTCTGTGGCTGCCGCAAATCCCTTATTGGCTGGTGAGTACTATCAAGTTCGGTGAGGATTGGGTCAACATAAGGTGTATATTTCTTTAAAGACTTATTATTAATGTGGTATTTATTTATTCTTGAAATTGTTGTGTTATTTTTAACTTAGTACAGTACATGATTTTACTTCAGCTATCTCTGCATGCTTTAGACTAGCCAGTTCAGTACTATGACTGAGATAAAAGGTTAAGAAAGTGCACTAGAATGTACTTTTGTAATACGGCAAAAGGCCTCATTCTTATTCAAGACCTGTTTCTCATTTCAAGAAGTGTGGCCGATCTCACATTGGGCTTTTTGGGAGGATTTGGGTATGGAATTTTTCTTTCCTTATTTTTCTGTAAATTTTGATAGAGTAATTCCTTGTAGATATATGATATATAGTTCCAAATATTATCCTTAGTGTTGATAGTTAGTGTGAGTTTTAATTCTGCATTGAGAGGTTCACATCTTCACTGAACAGTAAATGTAGTACAGTAGTTTGAGTTAATCTTGCTGGATTAGCCTCCACATACCTCAAGTATTATGGTGATGTCATGGTGAATCTAAAGAATGTGCTCTAAAATCATAGGTCTGGTGCCCATACTTTGAGCTTCACATATAATCTTGACAAAATACATATGCCATATCACCATTCTGATTATTTGTTCATTTTGGTACAATTTGGGGGGTTTTGGTGTCACTATCAGTCATACATCACTTATTTATAAAGAATTTTCATTACTTGTTTTTGACAGTACAGTATCTCCAACTAAACTGTGATGGGCTTATGTTTTTACTGCTACACACAAGACAAACTTCCTCCATATGAGTTCCAACTTTAATGTCTTGCGTGTTTCTCTTGTGTGATAAATAAGGATCACTTTGTCCCTTCCCATCGTAGACCAGTTTTCTTCCCCAAGACTCAGTCAGCCTATGCAAATTGACTCTTACTTTGCATTTTGTCTTTTTTTACCAAGTACTGTAATGTATTTTGGTTTATTTATTTATGTCTACACTATTTATGTGTTGGTCTCTTGTTTATCAGTGGCATGTTAACAAGATACAGCTGTCTCAGTCTTCTGCATTTCAGTTACCATTTTAGATCACCTGTTAATTCTCCATGTAATACATACATATATCCATAAATCAGTGACTGAACTATACAACACATTTACTTCATCACAGCGAGACTTTGCTATGCTTACAATATTTTCTTTAAATACGTACTGTATTGTATTGTATAGAATTAATGAATGACTTTTCAAGGTCCACAAATTGAATTCTATGCCGCTGAGTAGACAATCTAAGACCTTGTACAGTGGAGGCACTAGGAGCATGTCTCCAGTAATTATCGTAAGCATTTTCCACACAAAGATGTGAAAGGAATGATAATTAAAATATTGCAGAGAGACTACAGTATATATATGGGACATTTAACGATATACCTGTATAAGAAACGACTCATATATTTGCTATAGAGAATCTTAGGTTGAATTTCACTAGATCTGTATAATAATGATGACAGAAGTTTGATCTTGAATGAGCTCGCACTCATTGCCGTCCCAACACTGTCTGGCAGACTGTTCCAGAAGTACAGTAGTTCGGAACATCATCTTGTATACATTACCACATTAACATTGTTCATTGTGGTTCAAAGTAAGATTACATTTTAAGCAGCAAAAAACTGAATGTACAGTATGTTGCAAAGTTAGTTAGATGGGTCTTGGGTTTCTCATTGTAGTTGAATTGATTGGAAGTATGTTTAGGTGTACAGTATGTTTTGTAGTCCCAGAATCTTGTAATTAAATAGTAATATTGGTTTAGATATTTTGGCTAAACAAATTATGTTTACATTATTTAGTATCAGCGTAATTACTGGCATTACACTTCTTGATTCTACTATCAGTTATGCTAAATATATTTCCTGTGTTGATTCAGAGTTTTGCAGCGTTACTGTAGGAGAAATTTCCATATGTTTAAAATGAAAGAAATTTATGAAAAGCTCTTGGTATGATAGCACTTATTTAGTAAACTTGTATGTGCCAAAGTAGTGATACAGTACAGTAGTCAGTTTGTGTTTTGTAACCAATTATGCCCATATGTGGCAGGCATCATGTATAAGATGTTGCTTCCTGAGTTAATTGATTACATTATCTTATACTGTACCTTGTGGGAACCAAACTTAGTCTAATGAATCGTTTTGTATTTGTATATTTTGGGATTTATTGGCAAAAACCTCACCTGTGAAATTAAGAGCAAACTCATACAAGGATATTCTTTTTTTAATTCTCCCTTACTGCCACAACAAGACACCAATTGGTTTATCCTTGTCTTAACTCTACATCACCCATCTTCTGACTCCATATTTTCCTGGGTTAAACCTAAAAAACGTAAACTAACCTCAGCATATTTTGCCTGAGTGAATCCCTAAACATCCACAATTGCTAGGCTGTTTACAATGTTGAATTAATGTTCCCAGAGTGTGCAGGTTATGATAATATTCTCAATGGTTGTAGTGTACTGTACTGTGTAAATATTCAAAATAATGAGTGTCAGGGTTTCATCTGAAGAATCGTAGGTTCTAGGACTTAAGCACTAGATGTTTTTTTTTCCACCATGTCATGAAAGGTTCTGTGACTCAAGTGTTCTTTGATCTTTTCCACAGGGCTTTTGTCATCATCCTACGACCGGTCGATGGCCAGTCCCGTGTCTACCCCCTCCTCAACACCCACCCTTCCTGCCTTGCTCGGACATGTAAAAATAAAGAAAGAGGTTCTTGACCGCCCACATGACTCCTGCAAAGGTAAATACTGAACAAATTGCCTGTTGTATTATCATTGTGAAATAAGTCTTCAGCAGTTTTTTTTTTATTAAATTACAACTTTAGCGAGAGTAATTTTCATCATAAAAGCTGATGTTATTTTACATTGATGAATTTTCTAAAAACCGAACTGGAACTTGAGTTTTCATGCACACGTTATTGCGTAGTTGTCTTATTCCCGGAAGAGGAAGTTCCTTATTGATTTTGCGCGAATAAACATCATTGTCATGTTACCATTGTTCTCCCCGAATTTTTCAGCTGTTTTTATGTTTTAAAGTTCACGGCTAAATCTGTGGCGGCGGGCCGGTCAGCTGATCATGTTGAGTATAATGTGTGCTAAACATAGTTGTAAAAGGACAGTGATGTTTAGGTATGTGGGAACCAGCTTAATAGCGGAATAATGAATGACTTGACGAAACCGTTTAGTCCTATCTGGGGGCTTTTTGGTATTATTTTTGGGGAGGATTAAGTCAGCTGGTTTCTTGATACGTAGTAATACTGTATATAAAAGAACTTCATACTATTATGGAAATTTTTTAACAAGTAACATTGTAACAGGTTTTTGTCATTATTACTGGCGCTCTTCCCTCGGCAATCAGCATGGCCAACCTCTAGTGAGTGGCCATTGGGTAAATTATGATCTTTGAGCATGTATTACCTTAGTGTCTACGAACAGTAAATGAAGTGAGATGAACTTGAAGCAAAATAATTAAAAGAAGGTAAATAATATTGATTAATAAAAAAATACGAATGAATATGATAAACAATATGGTAACACTGATGCTGCTGCTGTGGGTGGGAGTAGAACCGTATACGTATTTAATAAACACTATGTATTGAAACGTACAGAAAGTTAATAGACACGCCTAATCCAGTACAATATAATATAAATGGTGAAAAAATAAATACATTAGGGCGTAGAGGCCAAACCCATTCCGTAATGCGTTGTAAGTCTACGACGATATAAACCATCTGATATGACCTGTTGTGGATCGACGGCTCAGCTTACCTTCTGTTGATTTTTAATGGATCATAAATCATTACAAATTATTCCCCTAAAAGACTTCTATTACATAAACCAACCTAAGTTACCAGTGATTTGCTTATATATTCGCGGATTATTATTTTATATATTCTATTCAATTATTTAAGTATGACGACGTTCGTATATTAGAAATTGTAATACGTCTTTCAGAAGTGCTTTTAATACCAAAGTAAATGTAGAGGAAATATTGGCTTAACTCAGCACAATGGTCGCTGCTGCTAAATATAACTCCCGTTTGTCTTGAAGAATTTTCCCTCGCTTTTCTTTCTACCTTCTGAGGCGTTGGCGGGAAAAGTTCAGAAGGTGTTGGCGGAAAGTTGTGGTGGAGCATAATAAAAGATTGTCTCAGTATAGTTTGTGGGTGAGTTTAGGGATAAAATAAGAGCAGCGGGTTGGGTAAAAATAGGTTAGTCATATCCTTGAACGATTTTTGGACGCGTTTAAAAGTGGCTGCTGCCGTTTGAAGAAGTTCTGTATTTTGGTTGTCCTTTTAACATAGTCCTCTGCTGGGGACTGGGGTAAGTGGACTTGTCGCAATAAACAGTCGGTGGTTATTGTTGATTTACGCGTGAATTATCCAGGGTGGGAGTGAGATGAAAGCGGACCCCAGGTGAGGTAGTAAACAATGTTGGATAATAACCCAATACTCCTCCTTGTCTTTTATGAATACTTTTGTTTAATAATTATATCAGTATGGTGTGGTGTTTATGGGTTAATTACTAAGGATAATATCCATCCTCTCCTTCCAATGTATTTAAAGGTCGTACGACTCAACTTCTGCCAGAGTCAGTTAGCTGATAATATTGAAACCGCGCCAGTATGAACCTAAATTAAATATTCGACACTCAGGCCGGGAGGTAAATAGAGTTCAGGGCATCTCTTCTCTCGCGGTTTATTTGCACATGATCTCCCCCCCCCCTCCCCCGGCTGGCTACTGGTGTTTTAAGTGTGAGAATTGCGTACTGGCTTCAGGTATACAGTTCTTATACTTCTCGTTACCATGAAAAACACGAGGGTTTGTGAGTAGCGGAGGTTTTTGTTGTGGGAAGGCTGCGTCGCCACACCCGTGACTACCAGCGCCAAGTTGTTTTTAGGTTGTTGGCCGAGAGAGAGAGAGATAGAGTTATCACCTGAATGTCGTATTTGGTAGAGAGAGAGAGATGAGGAGAATGAGGGAGTTAATGATTTATAAATGTCAACAAACAGTGTACGATTAGATCAATTGGACGAAAGATACGGCCGGAAGATTACGAATGGACTGGGAAGGAACTGTGGGAACGAATGTTAACACTGTAAGACTGACGTTATGGTTATGGAATGAGGTGTTGTAAGAGTGAAAGACTTAAAATATAATAAATTAGGTAAACAAATTCATTAGTCAAGTAAATTTGATGGTAATTGTTGTGGAGGGTAACAGAGTGAGTTAAAAGGTATACAAGAAATTCAGATCAGAGTGTGTGTAAATAATTAAATTAAACAAGTAAGGTTTAAGAGGAGAAAGGGATGAGTAGGTTGGAGCAGGAAGCGGTGGTGTGAGCCAGGGTACACGGCAGGACAAGAGAGCAACGCCCTACACCTCGGCGGCACACTGCCCAAGGTTGAGCTGCTTGGCAATGCCGCTCGGGTGACGCAAGGACAACTTTCGCGCCAGAATTTCGGAGCTGTTTCTTTTCGCGCCAAAAGTCTTTCTTCCTCCCGCCTCTCTCTCTCTCTCTGCAGCATTCTATCGATGGCTCTCCCGGTGATGATAGGTGGTGCGTAAGGCGGACATGACTCACGTGAGAGTATTTGAGGACTGGGGGGGGGGGTGTAAGGCGTAGTAACTGCGCAATATTCGCCCTCACTGTTTATATAGTTTTATGATTTCATGTTTCGCTAAAGGGAAGCGGAAGGGAAGGACATTGTTGTTTTAATTATTTATTGTTGTTTGACGAATAAACAAACTTTTATCAGGTGACGTAGAAAAGAAGCCTGACCAAATATTTTAACAACTATGACAATAACAGCAACACTAACAACCTCTTCATAACCAACACGTGTGCGCTGGCCAGGGAATTAGCAATTACCCCAACACTTGTGTACAGCCAACTGTTCGCTCTTAACCTTTGTGTGATTCAGTTATCAGGAACACCTGTTGCACTACTTCATTTACATGGTTTAGATAAGATATTGTTGTGTTGTGAACCAGAGAACGCGTATTTATTTAGTCATTCGGTAGTTCTCTAGCTCAAGGTAGCCATAACCTAACCTAACCCAACCTAACCATAGATATTGACTTGAACGACTTGAGTGTGTGTGTGCTCGTTTTTTTTTTCCCCTAACATGTTATATGGTTACATGTGACTGTGTACATGTTGCATTGTTGCATATGTACACACTAGTTAGGTGTGTGTGTGCGCGTGCGCGCTGAAGGTCTTTGGTAAGGTGACCTAATATGGCCAAGAGCAGTATGACGAGGCGTGACAAGGCGCTGGCGACCACCCTGCTCCTTGTGTCACCTGGCTGGCACCTATACTGGGGGAGGGGTTATGAGGCCAGGTATTTGCGTCATCCTCCGTAGGTGTGTGTGTGTGTTGTTAGGTGATGCTGTCCCAGGTGAGTGAGCTCCTTGCTATAGGCTCCAGAAACACGAAGGTTTAAATTATGATAAATTATTGGGTTAAACTGAGGAAGTATTCGAAGCAAGTCCTCTTAAACCCTGACTCCAAGATGGCTTACCCTCTCACTAGTAAGAAATTCAAAGCTTCTTATCCTACTGACTTGACTGATTGTATTAAACACATTCTCAGGTCCCCACTCAACCAGACACATTGAGGTAGCGGCCAACATGGCGTCCAAAATTACCTGAGACTCTAATTAAGTTTCTCTTCATACCTAATTAAATTAAGAAAATAATGTGGTGTTTTGAGAATTTGGGCTCCCCCCAACCCCTTATCCTCCCCTAACCACCCCTCCTCTCCCCCAACCACCCTCCCTCTCCCCAACCACCTCCCTCCCCCAACCACCTCCCTCTCCCCAACCACCCTCCCTCCCCCAACCACCCCTCCTCTCCCCCCAACCACCCTCCTCTCCAACCACCTCCCTCTCCCCAACCACCTCCTCTCCCAACCACCTCCCTCCCCCCCTCCTCTCCCCACCACTCCCTCCCCAACCACCCTCCCTCTCCCCCAACCCCTCCCTCTCCCCCAACCACCCCTCCTCTCTCAACCACCCCTCCCTCTCCCCAACCACCCATCCCCAACCACCCTCCCCTCCCTTTTACTCACCCTTCTCCCTTAACCACCCACCCTTCATTCCCTCCCCTAGACGGTTTGGGCGTACTCCGCAGCCCCGATACGAAGGACAAACACAGAGACACAAACAAGTGTGACCGTGAAGCTAAAAGCTATACATACCCCAGCTAATGAGGAAAACATTACATGTCTTTCAACCTTAGCTTACGTTTGCTGGCATCCGTTTGTTCCTCACCAGTCTTAGCTTTTGAAGTCAGCTAATTCAATCTAGCTTGGTTATGGGAGGAATCGATTTATCGTATCTTATGATTTTAGCTTTTCTATCGGTATCTTGTGCTAATTATAGCTTCCCCGCAGAGATTATCAAGCTAGTTATCAAACGAGTTATCAAGGAGTTACCAAATGAGTTATTAAGCGAGTTATCAAGCGAGTTATCGAGTTATCTAACGAGTTATCAAGGAGTTATCAAATGAGTTATCAAGTGAGTTATCAGCTGGGTAATTTTAGCTCCCGCAATCAAGATCCCGTCAAGTACTTTGCCAACCCTTAGCTGCTCCTGTCAAGCGTATAGGGATAACTCGTTCCCGTTTTAGCTGTGTGGTAGCTTGATGCTCTCCTGTGTGCTGTACCATATCCGTCTTAGCTTAAGCTTGATCCAATTTGACCATTAGGTTAGGTTAGGTTAGGGGCCTAATAGTAACCTG